CATTGGCTGGTTGTTTGATCTGGTCAAATCTCGGTGTAGCAGGAGCCAGAGTCCAAATGTGCTGTAGATGCTTTATTTTGAACATCTCTATTGTAGACATTGTCTTGTGCTAATCTGAAATGTCTATATTGTAGATACAGTCTTGTGTGCCATTTGACGACATATTAATTGAATATAAACTAGACTTTCATTGACTGGTTGTTTGATCTGGTCAAATCTAGGTGTAGCAGGAGCCAGAGTCCTGATTGCTCTTCACGATTATAGATACTTTATTTTGAACATCTCTATTGTAGACATTGTCTTGTGCTATTCTAAAATGTCTGTACTGTAGACACATTCTTGTGTGCCATTTGTTATGTGTCCACATAATTATAAATGACAAGGATAGAAATGATATTATGTACTTTAACGGATAATTTGCCTAATACTGGTGTTTTGTATAGATAAATATATAATAGTCTGATAGTGGTCAATAATAGGGATAATATTCCGACTTGTGTTTTGTGATATAAATAGATAAATGTCTAGAATATTGTCTTGTAGAAGTAAATAATTTGATAATAAGACAGTCTGTGTGTTGAGGAGATTTTAAACCATCTTGCTTTTCTTGCATTTGCTAATAAAACATTCTGTTGATAATGATTACCAGAAATAGTAGTCTTATTTTTAATGTCTAGAAATACATGGATATTATTAGTCTTACTTTTATAAATAACTATGTTAAGTTTCATTATTAGTCTTACTTTTATAAATAACTATGTTAAGTTTCATTATTAATCTTACTTTTATAAATAACTATGTTAAGTTTCATTATTAATCTTACTTTTATAAATAACAATGTTAAGTTTCATTATATTAGTCTTACTTTTATAAATAATTATGTTAAGTTTCATAATTAGTGAGATAAAAAATCCAAGTCAAAGAGACGATGAAACCCCCACACTCGAAAAAGAAGGAGGGCGGAAGATTCCCCTGTAACAATGTGGTCCGGTTTGGATCTCAGTGATGCATCTGAGGGAGAGCAGGAACCAGTCCGTGTAGAATAGATTAGTAAAGATAATCCCCCAGGAACAAACTAGATCAACACTGTCTTGATCTAGTTTGTTCCTGGGGGATTATCTTTACTAATCTTTCATAATTAGTCTTACATTTATTCATTGGTATAGGTGGAAATGCCTACCATAAATCTCAGAATTTATCAATTCTTTAAATGACATCTAGAGGCACGGATAACTATTCATAACAAAACACAACACTAGGTATATATGAATATAACTACTTCTCTGTTATTTAATAACGACGTTTCGTAACACATACAGGTCACGTTTTCAAGTTAATGATAAATATCCATCAAGATGGATAATTGAGAAGTAGTTATATCCATATATACCTTGTCTTGATTAATGTGCCCCCTGCCGTTGTTTCTTTCTGTACATTTAATTTTGATGTAATTACAATCAATGTCTTACTTTTAAACTCAGGGATTCTCTTTGTGCACTAAAAATGACTGCGATATATAGTCTGAAAAACCTGTTCCTTCATATTTACATTAATTACCCTCAATATCAGACATACTTTAATCTAGGACTAATTAAGATCATCTATAATTTATAACCCTGGGAATAATGTTGTTACGATATCCTTGGAGAATTACCATCTTGTCAGGTACTAATAATAAGATCGATAGTCCGAGATATTACGGAGAATAAATCAACACAGATCTTACAATTGACTTAACGTCTTGTGTTTATTGATTCGACAATTTACTACATCTATATTATTAACCAATCAATTAGTCTTTAATAGTACAATGTCTTCTTTAGAATCTGTCAAGCAGTCTGATTGGTCGAGTTATCTCAGGTTAGGTATGTGTTAGAAAGAACTGATAGACGGCCCGATTCTGTATTCTCTTCTCTTTGCGTAGTTTGCATTCTTTAGAAGACAGGTATTGTGCACAAAGCAGAGTGTGATCACATTTCCTTTAATAACTGATATCACTATCGCTGATTTGGGTAATTCACGTAGGTACCAAATTTTTGTTGTACTCCCATATCAAAACTGTGGCTCCAAATCAGTTATGGTTGTCATGTTCAAGGCTGAGAATGTTTTATTGATTTATAACATCTAATATGGGCGACTTATTTTTGGGGGGCATGATCGGAGGTGGGTGCCTGAGCGAAAACCAGAAAAGGGGAGGGAGGGGGGCAAGAGGTGAGAAACAGGTAGCTAAAGAGGAGACCAGGGGACGAGGAAAGTAGAAGTGGGTGCCACAGGAGGGAAAAAGATATCCATTAGATTGTTAATGGATAAGGATGCACATGTTTTAAGAGAATTTACGATATATACTGTAGGTCTATCAGACTATCCTATATTATGATGACTTATACTCGTCATAGTGAATATATGATTGTTGTTGTTGTATCGACTTTTCAGTTGCTACAATATATAAATATATTATTTATGTAGATGAGTAAGGTTTATGAATGAAGAAAACATCATGTCAGTGTATGATGAATGGTGATGGCATCTCTTTCTATTATTTGACTCATACTACCATAGTATAAATTATTCCTTGATTTGTTTCATTGCTTGTACTATATGATTCTCGCTTCGGGCTTTCATTTGTCAATTGTCAATAGAGATTATATATGCTGTAGGATTGATGCCTTGTTCCTGAAAATGTTTTAAGACTGCAGCCGTTTCATTGGTTAAGTGGTAAAATGTGCACAAGGATTTTAACCTTCGACCAATCAAAATATTTGAGTTTAGATTTTTGTGAGTAAAGGATAAGATCTAGATTGAGGATAGGGCTTGGTTAATTGGGGGATTTTAGGGATTTAAACGTTCTTGGTGTATATGCTTGAATATTGAACGAAGAACCAGCGTATCTACCTGTAAACTAGTATTAATTGCTGGATTGAGGAGAGGCCTTGGTGAGTTGAGTGTGTTTATTGAGGGATTTAATTGATGAAATTGTTCTTGGCGTATAGCACAAATATATTTAGCGAATAATCAGCATATATCTAGTGAATACCACAACATCACATATGTATTAGATCCCAATTGAGAGGGGCTACAGTGGTTCAGTGAGTAAGCCACTGGCTCACTACCATCATGGAGTATAGGTTCAAATATATAAGGTAATCCTTTGGTGGCATTTAGTGATTGGAAACATTATAGAACTAACACAGTTATATGGGATAATCTGTGTTCATTAGCCCAAGCGCAGCAGAACAGTTGGATGTTAAACCACATTTCATTTATATGGGATAACAGTCGCTGGTTTATTATACACAAGCACAACGTTTCGATAAGTATTCTCTTATCGTTATCAAGCACAATGACATTTAGTAAACTGGAAGGTCTATATGTATGAATCTACAATGTGAAGCCATACTTAATTAATAAATATGATTAGAGTGGTTCATACATTTTAACAATCATGTTAACAACAAAGAACTACTAAATGTCATTGTGCTTGATAACGATAAGGGAATACTTATTGAAACGTTGTGCTTGTGTATAATAAACCAGTGATTGTTGTCCAATATAACTGTGTTAGTTCACTATATAAGATTTAATATTACTGCCCTGGTATGTATTTATTAAAAGCACCATGATTTCTTAAAAGCATAACAGACCAAAATAATCAAGGGATTTAGAATGATATTATTTCCCCATTGAATATTGAGTAGTATTTTGTCCCATACAACTGTGTTCACGATATAAGATTTATTATTACTGGTATGTAATTATTTAAAGCACCATGATTTCGTATTATGTAATTATTAAAAGCATAAACAGACGAAAACAATCAAGGGGTTTAGAATGATATCATTTCCCCATTGAATATTGAGTAGTATTTCGTATTAATTGGATGATATTGCTTCTCACACTAGAGATCTGGAAATGTCATTTAGATAAACTGTCGAATAACAGACCATGAATTATTCAAAGCAGACGGCATCTTTCTTTATGCACTAGCTTCACATGAATAATATTAATTACTCTATGCATGAAACATACACAACACGTACATGTAATTTATAAACGTTATTTCTCCTGAGTTTAGACCATGTGGTAAAATTCTTGACGTCATGTTGACTTTGAACTGTTAAAGGGACTGTAAGTCACCAATTACATTAATTTTCAATAATATTACATTTGTCACATACATTTGTTTGACTCCTTTAAAACCAGTAATTGAAGAAGTTTATATTTCCCTGATGGCTTGACAGATTTGACTCAAATTTTGCATTCAATTGAATTTGAACATGTATGATATAAATGTATACCATAGTCAAATTACGTCAAATCGAAACATTATTATTTTAGGCAAAACCAATTTAATTTTTAGTCCATTCGAGTCTTGATCAATAAAGAACCCATTCTGCACACAGAGATCCATCTACTTCAAGAATAGATCTCTGCCCTGAATGGATCGCGGGGAGTAAGTCTACTTATTGGAGTGGAGTGTTTAGTCACAGACATGCACTCACTGGCCAGTAGTTGCTTTGCTATCGGTTAGTTTTACTCCCTCGGATTTTATTAAATGAAAGCAGAATATATACTTCTCAAATTACACTTAATGTTTTTCGACTAAAATCGTCGATTTAGGACTTTAAATGTTGGTCAACTAGCTTAGTGTCTGTTCTCAGACAGAGCTAACTGTAGACAGTCAGCCTAAGTTTAGTATGTAAAATCTTTTGTGTGATGTTTTGTTAAAATTTCAAAAATTTAATATTTGGAGCTAAAGAGAACTTTTGGTTAATAAATTAGTTTTTTTTTCCTGAAAAAGTTGGAGGCAGAATTTTTAGCAGAATGTAAAATTGGTGTGGCCTTACTTGTTAATAGCAGTATGAGATTTGTCTTGTGAAAGTTATCTTAGCCTATCTTGTATTATACTGTGTAGACGCAAATATTGTGAGATCACTAAATAAATAAGATATTATCCTGCCATCATTTTTCTTAATACCTTGTGTTTTTTTTTATCTTTTTAGGTGTCCCCAAAAACCAGCCACCACCAGTTCCAGCACGACCGAAATACTTCAAACCCCTTCAATCACCAACTTCTCCTAGAACTCAGTACCAAGGATCGAGTACCTACGATCATAATAACCATGGTAACTACAGCAGTGACTCAGCACTCGGATCTCCAGGAATAGGGGGCATTGGTGTATCTGTCGGAACAGATATTGATGAGATGGTGGATTTTGATCGCGATGGGCCAATGCCCGATTTCAATGGTAAGATTCATTTTTGTGTGTGACAATTTTTAGGAATACATGGAAAAAATGGGTTGCAAATTGATTCAAGAAATTTTATATTAAGAAAAACTTTTCAGAATCCATTAATGTTGATGGTCAGGAAATCCTGCCATTGAAAAATAAGTAATTTAGGTTATAAAGATTTGACATGTTTTATGGAATATGTTAATGAAATAGAACCATACTGGTCTGGTATACGTCCTGTGTCTTTTATAATCTATAGAAGCTTGTGTTGATTTATGGCAGACGGCCTTGATGTTTAGCAACGTGAGGGTGTTTAAATCATGGTGTTTGTCTCTTCTAAACAATACATTACCGGTATTTTAGACTCTGTATCAGAAAATTCTACCTTGAAAAATCACTAAATGTCTGTCAAAATAATGAGTTTTTGGGTAGTTTCGTTAAAGTCATTGGCTCAGGCTCTATCCAGGTGTGTGCTGAGACATTTTCGAGGGTTCTCTTGTCAATGGTGCTAGGAACTGCAGGAACTGTGTGGTTGTTCAGATGGGACAAAAAAAGAGAAAGAGAGAGAGAGAGATGTGGTTTAACTCCACTCGACACAAACTAGGTCATTTCAGGACTAACACATGGTTCAATTTTATTTCAATATTCGCTTGCGTGTAGTGGTCTTTAGCAGTGGGAGGAATCACGTACAACCTGGGAATCAAAACCACACCAGTTGACTCAATGACAGACCTTATGATTCAATACGCATGAGCTAATCATTCGGCCATCCAACCCCCCTCCACCCCAACCCCTTGAAAACCAGGATGAGTAACCACTTTTCATTAATTTGAGATATCCATATAACTGAAATGGAGAACAGGTCATAATGACCATGCTGTTGGTTCAACAGTATGTTTATTCAGATTGTCCCGTTTCTATGTCTTTGATACAAAAACAAGTTAACCAACGATTGATGAAGCAGTCACGAGATTCACATCAGTCAATAACATCAATATGTGTTGTTGTTACTTTAATTAATGTTTCCATTATTGATTTTGTCATCGTATCTTTTTTAAATGTGCATGTAGTTTGCTATCATCAAAACTTTCCTGAATGTTGTACACTGTGTACGAGAGAGAGAAATGGCACGACAACAAGCTGGAATTGATTGCAGGTCCTTGTTTGGACTGGATATCGAATCTTTGTTCTAGTCTACTTATTGGCATGGCAAGGGTTTTCCGTGTCTATTTCACTAAATTTTGTTTTAATTTGAAAACTATAGAAACAAAATGCAACATATTTCAACAAGCATAATTTTAATGTCAATAAAAAAACGAATGGTGTGGTGCATAATTATTAATTTATGAGCATTATGGGCCAGAGGAAATAAGATTATCGGCCATTGATATTTTGATTTTGTTATCTGAATTAAATGTCAAATAATCAATTTGACTAATTGTTAGTGTGGATATGTCGTGAATGTGGATTAAAGATAGATTATGGAGATTAAATAAAGAGCTGACATTTCTCACTATAATAGTTCAATAATAGATAATGTAATGGGAATATTCTGAAAATTTCAGTCAGATTACTCCAGTTTAAGCCAAGAAATACGCATTTTATAAACCTTGTAGCCTTGATTCTTATTGTTGCCAAAAATAAAAGTCTTGATTATCCATTTTTGGGTTTAATCAACAATGGCTGTTGAACAGTCAATCGGATTCAAATTTAATGAAAATCGGAAGCATCAGATGGCATCAACAGTTGATTATGGTCTTGTCATGTTAATAAATTTATAATTTATATAACATTTCAAGCCTAAGAAAGACCTGCAGTGGGCAGATTTAGCTTTTGCATAATATGTTTAAGCCATGAAAAGCTGTATACTGTCCAAAAAATGAGCGGTTATAAGATTTGGGTATTGAAACTTAATTCACAGATGGTCTGAGATGAATAAAAATCATTTGTACTTTTTCAGGAAAAGAGAGTCCCCCACCCCCACCACCAGATGTCGCACAGAACGATTTGATGCTGCGTCTTGGGTTGTTGCTAGGTGACAGAATAAATCCTAATGAGCGTCTCACTCCTTATCAACAATCCACCAATCAAACAGAAGAAGCGTTTACGAGTGTTTCATCTTTAGGAAGTAGCGAAGCCACTCCAGATAAAGGTCTTTCAGATACTAGTCCTATGTCAACACTTACAGGTACGGCTCTAACAGATATTTCTCATAAATTATCTAAATAAATAGAACCCTAGTTTATTTATAAGTTAAACACTTCCCACCTGGAATTTGTCAGGTGTTTATTCACTTAAAGCTTAAAGAGACATTATAACTCTCACCAAGAACATATATGAAATTAGGGTTGGATGACGGAATTGTTATCACGTGCGTGTTGTATCATAGGGTATGTCATTGAGTCAACTGGCGTGGTTTTGATTCCCTGGTTGTACGTGACAAGGAGTAGGATCGCCTGTCTAACCTTGTTGGTTTTCCCCCCGGGTCCTCCGATTTCCTCCCACTGCTAAAGATCCCCTACGAATTACTGAAGTAAAATTGAACCATATGTTAGTCACATATCTAGCTAGCCTTGGATCCAGCTAATTTTCAAGAGTTCAATGAGTAAGATGCTGTGGGTCGAGAAAGTTCCCCCCAGAATTTCCAGTGAGGTTTCAGCATGTCTATGGTGCTGGATGTAGGGGACATGCAAGGAATGGCTTCTAGTTGTTTGTATGGGCCTAAAGGTCCTATGCACGTAAAAAAAAAGCCCCGGACAATTGGAATTCGACAAATAGACAGTCTTGGCAAAGTTTTCTTCATGGCATTCTGCAGCAGCCAAATACCATTTTATTTCCCTTCTTGTAAACAAATTATCAATCTGAATAAAACACAGATCTTATTTCGTTTCGTTTTTTATAGTTCAAAATTTCATTTTACTTGTCTTAAAAACACTAGGATCTGGAAGACTTGTTATATTACCAGCGTTTTGGTTGAAGTGAGGGAGTAGCCAATGAAACGGTAAACCACTAGTAATGGCAACGCTGATTGACTCATCAATGTCTGACGTCATAGGGTCAAAAGCCGCTTGTACGACCCCTGACACGACCTTCAAGTACAACTTGTCAGATCTTCATGAAGTGTAGGCCATCGAAAGTATAAAAAAAAACGAAACAAAATATATAGAGGATATTTGTCGTTTTGTCGTGAAGAACATATTTTATTTCATCGAGAAGCAAGAAAACTTATATTTTCACGAATGCGTAGCATGAGTGAAAATATAAACGTTTTCTTGCTTAGAGATGAAATAAAATATGTTCTTCACGACAAAACGACAAATGTTCTATTTATTTTATGATTTTACAATCATTTTAGTTAAAAACAACATGGACTACTGCTAGCCAGTGGAATAACACTTTTATTTCACTGATAAAACGCGGTATTCCTCTACTGATCATAAAATAAAGATCTGTATTTTAATCAGATTGACAAACTATTGGAATAGGATATATCTGGTTAGTCCCGAAACAGTATTGGATGGATGTTAAACCCCATTTCTCTCTCACTTTATTGTTTAGATTTATTGTATATTCAGCACATATTATAAGATTAGAAACAACAGATGTAATAGTATTTATACTACAAATTTGGGTGTGAATTCAGTTATAAATGCTTTTAACATTTTCAAATAAATTTGTTTATATTTTGTACTTCCTGCTGGTGTTTCTGACTGTATTTAATTTATTTCAGTGTCATCAGGGAGTGAACGTGGTCTGCCGCCTAGAATAAATCAAAACACCCAGTGTTACACAGGAAGTCGCGATATGAGTTCGGATAGCATGACATCACTAATGAGTACCAGTACCGGTCAGAGTGCTAGTCCATATACAACGGCACAAAGACCTCACTCCATTACAAGTAAGCTATTGGTTCCATCTGTTAGTTACATCCAATATAAGTATAACTATATATCTAATGATGTAATATTTGGACAAGTTTTAAATTCTTTATGTTGTGTTTTTTTGTTGGGAAAGGTAACCAGGATTTTCCGACATGGTTTCCCTTTGTCAGTGGTGCAGGATGGAGGGCCTGACAAGGACAGCTGTCTAGTCGTTTGGATGGGACAAAAAAAAGAGGTCCTGTGTATACATTGGCGTGCAGTTGGAATTCGATATAAGAGTAGGCCATAGTGCCACTGCCCGGGCAAGATTTCCCTCATAGCACACTGTATGGCGTATGCCCGTCTTCTTTAACCCAGTTTCGGAGCAGAACTGTAGGACATTAAACCCCATTTCATTTTATGTTGTGGTTAGTCCTCAAATGACCTAGTTTGTGTTCAGTGGATGTTAAACCTCATTTCTCTTATGTTGTCATTGGTTGAATCTGGAATATGGTGTCAATTATATCAAATGGAACTATTATTTTTGAAAGAAATTATTGCACCCATTTTTTTTATATAAGCAGTTTCTACCAATCATTTACCACTTGAAATATCTAAATTACATGCCAGGAACTTCAAATGTTAATACTATGGACTTTATCAAGGGAACACATATAGCGGAGTTGATTGTCATAACTTGTAGCATCCATGAAAATAACTGACTGGCAACCTTTTAAAATAAGAGTCTAACAGATGATCTATATGGGGGGTTAATCCCCTTTGTTCTGACTTTGTGGTCTCTGATAGATTTTAACAGATATGAAAAAAAAAACATGTATGAATTTTAACACCATTTTCCATTTTGCAGCTTCCATGCCAGGTGCAATAGAAGAATTACCCTTATTTGGTAAAAGACGAACACAGTTACGTCGCTCAGCCAGAGCTACAGTGGCACATGCAGACGGCAAAGGTAATAACTGTTTAATTATTGATTCTACTAGACAACATTTGTAATTTTTTTTTTTAAATCAAAATGTTAACCATCTGTATTGATTGCGATATGTGCTTTACGTGCTGTGTGGACATTAAAATTTCATTTCTCTCTCGCAATCTTTTTCTTTGTCAAATATTGAATTCTGTATTTTTCTTCCTACAGTGCGATTTACACCAATACGACCACCACAGCTACAGTTATCACCGTTAAATTTTGAAATACCGCATCCCGGTGGAAAACCTATATTTATTGGTAGAGAATGGCTGTTCAGAGATATTGAGATGGTTCGTATTTTCTGTCTTAAATATGGGAGCCACGGTGGCTAAGTGGGTAAAACGCTGGCTCGCTAGCCTGGAGGTTGTGTATTCGATCCCTGCATTGACCGTGAAAGTTCATTGGGATTTTCCGGTGTGGTTTTCTCTTGTCAGTGGTGCAGAATACAGGGCCTGACAAGGACAGCTGTCTAGTCGTTTGGATGGGATGAAAAAACGAGGCCCCGTGTATACATTGGCTTGCATGTAAAAAAAATCCCTTGGCAGTTGGAATTTGATATTAGAGTAGGTCATAGTGCCGTTGCCCGGGCAAAATTTATCTTATTGCACACTTTATGGCATATGCCCGTCTTCATTAGCCCAGTTGGAGCAAAACAGTAGGACGTTAAGCTTCAGTCATTGGAAATTCCTAGCTTAATGAGTAACAGTATCAAGTGTTTCTAGAAAGGGTTAGCCTTGTGTCCAAAACATCAGTAGATACATGCGTAAAGGGTTCTGTGATTTTATGGTACTGTTTCTGTAACCGGCAGGTATCTTGTTCAATCATGGTCGAAACCGTGAAAGTTTTTCAGGGAAAAGCATGTTTTGAGGGGAAGCAAAAAAGGTACTATTGGCAGCACAATAAAGAGTAAGCCATAACAAAATTTCCCCTCATAGCACACTTTGTGCAGAAAAATAGGACATTAAACCCCAATTTCATTTCTATTATTTTTTTAATTTTTCAGACGTTAAATGGTGATGGTCCGAATCGCTCTCAGGGTGTAATATTATTAGGTAGTACAGGAAGTGGTAAATCGGCCATTATAGAACAACTGATAGATTATAGTTGTTTTGGTGATGGTAAAGGTGGTATTCTTTCACAAACAGGTACGTCTAATAATTTCTTTAAAGGACAATATTGGTGCCAGTCATTATCACTTATGTGATAGAACTAATTAAACACGTTCCAAATATTATTTTATCACAGTGATCATTGCTACGATAGATGCGTAATCAATGTTTCAACCATCGGAAGTGACTAACGCGAAAGAAAAAACACGAGTTATCCCTCTATACAACTGACTGAAGTGACGGGTGATAACAGATACATGGGCAAATTTCTGCTCACTAACAATTCCTTCGAAATCCTGTATTATTGAAGTAGCATTTTTTGATATGAATTAATATTATTCTTACATTTATTTTCAGAAATTCAAAATGGGAGATCAATGCAGAATGGATATAATAGCAGTCCGAACAGCACACTACATAGTTTAAATCATTCTTCAAACCCGGCTTTATCAGCGTCTTGTCGTTCTAGTCCACACTCTTACCTCAGTGCCTCCACGATGAACCTAAATTACGACTCATTAAAAAGTCTTGGGTCTCAAGTTGTTGGATATCATTTATTTCAAGCCGACTGCAATATAACATGCATGGTCCCAGACTTTGTTCATAGTTTGGCTGCTCAGTTGACGCGCTCTCCCGAATTATCGGCCTACCGAGAACTCTTGCTCCAAGAACCCTCGTTACAACAATTATTAACTGTTAAAGAATGTGTACAAAATCCATCGGCTGCTTTCATTAAAGGAATACTCGATCCATTGAGAACATTGAAAAATAATGGAAAAATTGTGTCCGATAGTTGCATAATATTATTAGATTCGTTAAACGAGGCAGAATTTCATAAACCGGATTATGGAGACACAATTGCAACCTTTTTAGGCCGTCACATCAACAGATTACCTAATTGGTTAAAATTGATTATCACTGTTCAGACTGTGCACCAGGATATCGTACGCACCTTTCCGTTCCATCGGATAACGATAGACAAAATGTCCAATGATTTTGTGATGCGGGATACGAATGAATACATAACGCACCGGATTAACACGGACATTGGAATACGGAACAACATCTCCCAGAACGGTAAACTAGAACCGGCAACGCAACAAAAATTCTGTTCCCATATACAGACGTTAAGTAAAGGTTGTTTCCTGTATTGTAAACTTATCCTTGACCTTATTGACAAAGGTCACGTGGTGCCAAAGAGTACAAACTATAAAATCTTACCAGTGAATATTTCTGAGATTTTCCTGCTGCATTTTAATCTGAAATTTCCCAGTGTTCGCTCCTTCGAAAAAGTGTCATCCATATTAGGAGTGTGCCTAGCAACACTGTATCCGTTGACTTTCGAGGAGATTTATCTCACCGTGAATTCTGGATATACGCAAAGATACATTTCACCCAAAGACTTCAGTGAACGTATGGAGGTGCTTTCATCTTTCTTGTTTCGAAGAAGGAACGATACTTTTATGTTCTTTCATCCAGCTTTTCGAGAGTGGTTGATTCGTCGTGATGAAGCAGATTGTCCTAAGTTTTTATGTGATCTACGGTAAGTTTCTGGTGCTGTGTGTCTAAAATTTCAAAATTATGTTTAATATTTTAAGATATTTTATGGCTGTATGCATCACTGTTACTTTTTGCTAAATTTCGTACTTTATTGAAGTATTAAAAGTCAATTTAAGTTTCAAGATTGGAAAAATAAACTGAATGTTAAATGATTTAATTCTATAATTTGAAAGTCTCTGTGTGTCATTTGAATTTTAAGGAAAATATCAAAACTTGAACAGATTATACTTTTCTAAAATGTACTTAGATTGTTTATTTAACATTTAATTAAGAAAACAAAACCTAAATATCAAAGGTAGGTAATTGGATTAAAACGAGGGCTGCAAAATTGTGTTGACTATCATATAGTCGCCTGTCCAACCTCGTGGGTTTTCTCCGGGTCCTCCAGTTTCCTCCCACTGCCAAAGACCCCTACGCGCAAGCAAATTATTGAAATAAAATTGAACCATATGTTAGTCCCGAAATGACCTAGTTTGTGTCGAGTGGACGTTAAACCCCATTTCTCTCACTCTCATATCTTTATAATTATTAAACAGAATTGGACCATTTTTGTCCTGATATTCATTTTAGAGATTCGACTTTCACAATATGGTAGTTTGCAAGGGATTAACAATGCCTCCAATAATGTTCAGAGACTTCGATATCTATAAATAAATTTGAAATATTTTAATTAAGTGATTGAAAACACTAAAGTACGAATTTAGCATAAGTAATACAGGAGCAGACGGCAAACTTAATTTACTTGAATCGAGTATTATTCCTCTTAGAAATTAAGTTTTTTTTTCTTCCTCCTGTGAATATAGTTGATTTTAAATCTTTATTTATGTTCCTTTCTGCAGCAGTGCAGAATTTGACTACAGGTGAGCTATTATTGTCAATAAACTGGTTTCAACCTGTTGGTAGCTTTATTCAAACTGGATTCAATATCTGTCTAATAAAAGTTTCAGAACTTGGTTCCCTGTATAATATACCTACTAGAAGATTAAAAGTGGGAGATAATGTCCTACTTTTCTGTCTAGTCCATCCTCATTGGTCAAGACTGTGCAAAAAAATTTGATTATCAGTCATGCTATACGTATCGCGATTGGACAGTAATATCCGACTTTGAGGATGAATTTTAAAAAGATAAAATACAGTAAATAATGTCACCACATAGATCAGTTTCAAAGAAACGTACAGATTGAAACGTAAGCCAGGGAACCAGGCTAGTGTTATTATCATGCTTTCAGCTTTTTCATCAATTTTCTGTTTCATTGTCCCACCAGATCACCTATCTCCATTCTTGACAAAACCAATCATCATTCATTAACACAGTGACTCCAGGAATCTGAATACCAAAATTGTCATTTTAGCTGTTCAACTTCTACGCATTATTTTTGAAGACTTGAGCTAAAAAATTATGCAGTCTTTTCATAGGTTTAGTGTGGAAATTAGTACTAAGCTTTTTAAGGTGTTTTGCATAAGTTTTTGTTACACTCCTTGAAAATTAATTTTAAAAATATGTTTTACCTGAGCAAGTATTTGTGTAAATTCGTAATTTGATAATTCTCTGCAACATCTCCACAGAACTCAGCGTTTTACTACTGATCAAAAATAATAACCGAAACGTTGAGGATCTCATATTCTTCGAGTCATATTGTTATTGAATGACGCTAGGTTACCAAGAATGGGTTATCTCATAATATGACAATATTTGAGTTTTAGTTAAGTTTTATTAATCCCGTATTATTTACAGTTTGTAGTTTTATCATTTGACCATCACCTATTGTGTGATCTGTTTGTTTGTTTCAAGTGTGTCTAATATAAAAACAGCTGAGAATAACAAAATATAGACGAAATATTTATTTAGAGCGATAATTGTAATAATTAATGTTAATATGCACTATATAATTGCTGATAGAATTTTATTTTTAACTAACACTAATTAGCGAGATTACATTAGATAAATTCGCACTGATAACAACTGATATGAAAATAATAATCTAATTTAGAATAATTCTTAGACAGACTAACTTGTACATGTAATTGTAAATGTCTTCTAAATATGAAAAATGACTATGTTTAGATCATGCAAAGTGAAACTACATCTGTTATTTCTTTGTGTTTGAAAATATTTTTTTTTGGGGGGGGGGGGTAGCCTACATAACGATTTGTCTACCATCTTGTTACTTTTCTGTGCGGTTTGAACTCTGGCTTAAGCCAATATGTTCATTTAAAACCATTCTTGCCTAATAGGCCTACAAAGGAGCTTTAGATTGGCTAGGTGATAGGTCAGGTCAGTTAAGCCTAGGTCAGGTCAATTAAGCCTTAACTTGTGAAAGATGTTGTTAGATCTTACTGTAGTCCAAATATAAGCAGAAGACAAAAAAAAAACTGAACAGTTGGATGAGGAAAATGTTTCAACACTCCAAGTTCAATTATATTTGCATTTACGGTATCGTTGAGTCTAACATCATCTTAGAGATTTGTGTTCGATTGACCTGACCTGACCTGTCATGTACTGTTAGCCAATGAAAAAGACACTCATATCAGGGCAAGAATATTTGTAGCCAATCACTTGGCTAAAATGAAATAATGGTTTAAATATTTAGATATCTATATATAGTGTAGACTAACCAATATTTAAACACGAATAAAATAAAAAATAAAAAAAAAACAGATCAAATTTTCATTTAATTGTATTTCAATATCACATTAATTGAAAAAGTGAATTTTGCTAGACTTTGATTGGTTAATATACCCCATCATTTGCATAGACTCCAAGCCTTATATATATATATATACGATAGATAATCATACGCTCACAAATCAATCTGCTATTCTTCACGTCCGACATCTGCTCTTCATTATTTTGTGCATTAAATTGTTTTGCATGTCTGTTAATGTTTTCACTAAAAGACATTTTATAAATGAACAAACAAAAAAACCCATATAGATAGTAATTTAGATAATTTAATATATCTAACAAACTGAAGAGTTTTTGATAGTGAAGAATCTTGTAGAAAAGAAATAAATGCATGTCTAATTATCCAGTTTCTAAACAAAAAAATGTTATCCATAAATAAAATATAATCTTAAATGCATGGCTAGTCATTATCTACATATTTAACGAAGATTCAGATAAAAATTCAGATTTTTATCATTTTTATTTTTCCATTTATTACAGAAATGGACATGCCCTGATGGCTTTCAGATTATCACGTGTAACGGCACCTCTTGAAGCAGATAAAACGATCGAGCTAGGACATCATATCCTCAAGGCTCACATCTACAAGAATTTGAGTAAACAGAGAGGTTATTCATCTCGAGACATGCAGGCGTTCTGGATGCTCATGTCCTCCAAAAATCTTAGTGCTGCATTAACTTGTCAACGTAATCTCTTCTCACCCAATATCAAGGTAATGTTGGAAAACTGTTAAAGTGGCATTTAGTAACTGGATGAGAATAACACATGACAGAATTATATGAAATACAAGTTACTTAAAAGATATACTTCTGGCAACGTTTCGACAATGGTTATATTTTTTAACATAAACTCTTGTGTTAATATGTTCAATTACTAAATGCCTTTCAAAGAAATTATGATCATAATACTGTTGATGCAAGATGAAATGGTTCAACAGACCTTTCTTTTAAAAAAAATAAAATTCGGGGGGTGGATGGCCAAATGGTTAGCGAGTGCACGCTGTATGATAAGGTCTGTCATTGAGTCAACTGGCATTGTTTCGATTCCACGGTTGTATGTGATGAGGAGTAGGGTTGCCTGTCCTACCTCATGGGTTTCCTCTGGGTCGTTACGGTTTCCTCCCACTGCTAAGGGATTTTATTGAAATAAAATGGAACCATATATATTAGTCCCAAAATGACCTAGTTTGTGTCAAGTTGATGTTAAATCTCCCTCTCTCTCTCTCTCTCTTTCTTACTTACATTTTATAAAGATGGACCATAGAATCAAAATGTGATGTTCAGAGATACCCTCACCTTCTCCTCGAACTCAACAGTGAAACAAGAACATCAATGTCTTCCCATCAATGTCTACCCCAAACATTCCCACAGCCCTTGGCTTTCTGCATCTGCCCATGAGATATTTAAAACTATTTTATGTAATTCAAGTTTCAACAGAAATTGTGAAAATATCAAAGTAACATTTAATATTGTGTTTTATATTTATACAGGTATCAAGGTTAATTTTACTGTCAGGTGCCAATCCTAATGCTAGAACCGCTTATTTAAACAGCGGACCTATTTTATGTATCGCTAGTAAGGAAGATTTTCCCGATATGGTGGAACTGTTATTAGAGTTTAACGCTGATATCAATGCTGTATCTGATATTGGCATGTCAGCGTTATGTTACGCAGCCTCCGAGGGTAATGAGGATATCGTTCAACTGTTATGTGAAAGAAATGCAAGGGTAAGTCAATGTAACACATTAAATATAGTTTCAGCACTAACAACCAGAATTGTAGATTTGATTTACATAGAAACCTGATAATTTCTATATAAAAGTACCGGTAGTTTGAGCATATTTTGTGTTTAAATTTAATTATCTCCCTTTAACAAAAATATTGCATCTTCAGTCTTGATGCATTTATCATAGAAATCAAAACCAGTATGTTGGACTTGATTTCTATAGAGACATGACAGATTCTCTATGCAGGTAAGGGGGGTTAGATGGTTGAATGGTTAGCACTTGCGCGCTGTAAAAGTTCTGTCATTGAGTCAACTGGCGTGGTTTCGATTCCCCAGTTGTACGTGACAAGGAGTAGGGTCGCCTGTGCAACCTCGTGGGTTTTCTCCGGGTCCTCTGGTTTCCTCCCACTGCTAAAGACCCCTACGCGCAAGCAAATTTTTGAAATAAAATTGAACCATATGTTAGTCCAAGGTAGTTTGTGTCAAGTGGACGTTACACCCCATTTCTCTCTCTCTCTCTCTCTATATATATATATATATATATATGAAGGTAGCTAGTCTGCCAATAAAACCAATTTTGTCTCTAACTGTAATTATCTCCCTTTGTCAGGTTCAGATTGGATTTAGTTGAAAAGTATTTAGGCAGCTGATTATCTTTGCATTTTCAGATAATAACTAGTTTTTTACATCTTAATCCATTGTAACATATACTCAAGTTAATTATTTAATTCATTGTAACATATACTCAAGTTAATTATTTAATTAAGAAAACAAAATCAAATAAAATAAACCCCTTAAAAGATTTTACTCAACTGTCTTTGTGGTATATTTTTAGATATCATTAGTGGATAATTCTGGTCAATGTTCGGTGGTACATGCTGCTATACATGGTAACCTGAAGGTGTTAGATTATTTATTGAAGTATGACTGGACGCCGTATGACGGGGAACCAACCAAGAGTGAGGCTATACATCAGGCTTTTGTTACTGGTGCAGCTTCGGGTAATAAACATGTAAGTATAGCAACCAAGTATCTTTTCCCCCCAAAAAAAGGAAATAAAATGGGGTTTAACATTCTTCTTTCAGCCCCAACCAGGCTAATGAAGACGCCAAAATAGACCTCAGTTTTTCGTTCCGTGACTAGACAGTATGTTGTTCCTTGCCACGCTGTATGATAAGGTCTGTCATTGAGTCAACTTATGTGGTTTCAATTAACCTGGTTGTACGTGACAAGGAGTAGGGTTGCCTGTCCAATCTCGTGGGTTTTCACCGGGTCCTCCGGTTTGCTCCCATTGCTAAAGACCCCTACATGCAAGTGAATTATTGAAATAAGATTGAACCATGTGTTAGTCCTGAAATGACCTAGTTTGTGTTGAGTGGACGTTAAACCCCATTTCTCACTCTCTCTCTAAATTTTTATTGGGTAACAAAATGACGACCATGTCAGCAGTTGACCAGACACTCTTTATGGCTATGGTGTGGATTATAGAGATATGAATATAGTTATTATTGTATATTATAGATCTGTGAATATTTACTACATAGTACAGATGGTAAAGGTTTAGATTTACCTGATACATATCTAGAAGAAACAGGTAAGTGTATGTACATTGTCATAGATACGATACAATATTGTCATATATAAGATACAATATTGATTTCAAACAGCTGACAGATATTCTACGCTCAATCAGTCATGTACAGTGAATGAATTTGTTGAAACTTGAAAAGTGCAATAGAAACTGACATAAAGTATTGTTGCGCTATAAATTGAGAATTATTATATTATAATGAAATCCTCCATAGTTTAAATGAAAGTGTCAGCAGTTTTATGTCCCCTTATTTTGGTTTAAGATCCCAATTTTATAATGGAGACTAAACAATTAGAGTTACAATGTTTTGAGACTAACCTAGGTTTTTTTTCTGTGGCCACTTGTACAATGCTGGAGAGGAGAATTTTAACAAGGCAGCAGGGATTTTGCCTACTCTATATTATCTTTACGTTCATGCCAATGTGCAAGCGAGTAGACTTCAATTTTTTTGTCCTCCCCAAATGGGGGGGGGGGGGTTGGATGGCCGAATGGTTAGCACGTGCGCGCTGTATTATAAAGCCTGTCATTGAGTCAACTGGTATGGTTTCGAATCCCCGGTTGTACGTGACAAGGAGTAGGGTCGCCTGTCCAACCTCATGGGTTTTCTCCGGGTCCTCCGGTTTCCTCCCACTGCTAAAGACCCCTACGCGCAAGCAAATTATTGAAATAACATTAAACCATTTGTTAGTCCTGAAATGACCTAGTTTGTGTCGAGTGGACAATTAACCCCATCTCTCTCTCTCTCTCCCTCCCCAAATGACTAAGCGAGGCTCTCCTTAGTGTTTATGTTCACTTATAGGGGGGGGTGAGTGGCCGAATGTTTAACACATCATGTTGGATCAGAAAGTCTGTCATTAAGTCAAGTGGCATGGTTTTGATTCCCCACTTGCACGTGACAAAGAATAGGGTCGCATGTCCAACCCTGTGGGTTTTCTCTGGCTCCTCCGGTTCCCTCCCACTGTTAAAGACCCCTACGTGCAAGCGAAGTATTGAAATAAAATTGAACCATATGTTAGTATGTGTTGAGTGGACGTTAAACCCCATTTCTCTCTTTTATGTTCACTTATATCATATCAAAGTTTAAAATAATTTATTATTATTTCAGCTTTAACAGCAGCGTGTCGTCATGGTAAGCGGGAAATTGTAGAATATCTAATAGACGAAGGAGCGAACATGCACGCCCCTAATTCCAAATCTTTCAGCCCTTTATTATGTGCTGTAAAGGCTGGTAGATGGGAAGTAGCAGACATGTTATTACAGTTTGGTGCCTCCATAGAACAGACGGATAAATATGGCCGAACACCTTTAATGATTGCTGCTAGTGAAGGTCATATAGCTGTCCTTGAAATGCTTCTCCATAAAGGTTAGTATTCGAATTCTATCCAGTCTAGTTTTTAAACCAGGAACTGGCTCCTAAACATTGCACATCTTGGTTCTTCTTCTTCACTGGAGAACCTCTATTCCAAAAAAAATAGCCTAAGGCTCCTTGAATTCAAGTATTTCAACATGATACTTGGCATGCTTGACTTTTTGACAATTTTTCATTGATTGACATAATTTTATGTTTGATATGGCATCACAATTCCAAGATGGTGGCAATGACGTCTTGCTTCGTTCCTGGTCCATAGTATGCTCAAACTTATTTTTATACAACAGTATTTTATACTATATTTGTTGAGATCATTTGAATAGTTTATCTATGCTATATAAATTATGTAAATAGATAAATATTTGGTTCATTCTACTTCATACTCCAATACAATCTTAACTTCCGATGCATTTGGTTTTACAGTCCTAACATAAAGATTCATTTACTAAGATATATCTGGGAACGGCTCTTTTTTAGATCCTTTCTCAAATGTTTAGAATGTGATTAATTATATAAGTTACAGTACTTTTATATTTATTTCTGTATATTCTAGGTGCTCAGTATAATTTAATGGATAAAGAAGGTTTAACGGCATTGTGTTGGGGCTGTTTAAAGGGTCACCTACACATCGTTAAAACTCTACACGAGCGTGGTGCTCAGATACAACATGTTGACAAGAGTAATCGTACCCCGCTCCATCTCGCCGCGTTTCACGGAGATGATCAAGTGGTACAATATTTAATAGATCAAGGAGCACAGATAGAACATGTAGACGTCAATGGTATGAGGCCGTTAGATCGAGCCATTGGTTGTCGAAATACATCCGTTATTATCTGTTTCCTGAGGAAAGGTGCTAAATTAGGTAAGAAAAAAATTGTTATACTTTTAATTCCCTTTACCTTCAAACTGGCCCTGGGATCTGCATTGGTCACAAGTTAGGGTACTGGCCTGTCAATTAAAATCACCAGAGTTCAAATCACTTCTGAGATAAATCTTCTAGATTTTTGCAGTCCATTTCTCACTAATCTGTCGTGGCTTATGTTGGGCTGACAAGGACAGTCTGCCTGGTTGTTTAGACAGAACGAAAAATCGAGATCAACCTAATTCAATACTTTATGTTAACCTAAATCAAAGAATTTAATAACCAAAATATAGTAATAACATCTATATCCAAATTTCTTATGTTTGTTTTATTTCCAGGTCCAGAAACGTGGGAAATGGCTGCTGGTAAAACTGATGTTCTTCTTTTATTATTGAATAAATTAATGGAAGATGGTAATATATTATACAAGGTTAGTTCTTACTCAATTCATTACATCAATTAATTCACATTATTACTTTGTCTGCAACATTGGCTGAGATAGTTCATCCAGATTTCCCAGCATGGTTTCCCCTTGTCAGTGATGCAGGACAGAGGGCTTGACAAGGACAGCTGTCTAGTCGTTTGGATGGGACGAAAAACTGAAGTCCTGTGTACACATTGGCTTGCATGTAAAAGATCCCCTGGCAGTTGGAATTTGATATAAGAGTAGGCCGTAGCACTGCTGCCCGGGCAAAATTTCCCTCATAGCACACTGTATGGCGTATGCCAGTCTTCATTAGCCCAGTTTAGAAGCAGAACAGTAGGACATTAAACCTTATTTCATTTCATTTCCTTTTAATTTGTCTGCAGATCATAATGAAGGCCTGGAAATAACATTTTTACCTGACAAAATGTCAGGCATATCTAAACTAGAGCCTGACAATTTGAACTTTGTAACGGATATGTATTAATAAAATAAATAGAAACACGGAAAAACAAATCGGAACCAGTCAGTATTTCCAGTTTTGGTAATAACACGACGTTTGGGGAGCTAGACTTGTGACGACACTGTTAAATGTTCGATCTCCATTCGACTAAATGTGGAATTCTTGTTTCTGTCACAAGAGACTTTATCCCAGCGGTAACTGGGTATAGGTGGGATAGTAGAATTAATGTAGCTTGAAACGTCTTTTGCAAAAATATGACTGAAGATAGGTAAAAACATAATAAAACTAATAACCCTATGAATTATAATATGATACTACAGTTGATTAACTTATGTTTTATTGTAGAAAAATCGAGTAAAAGAAGCTTCACAGAGATATCAATATGCCTTGAAAAAATTCCCTAAAGAAGGATTAGGAGAAGAAGCTCGAACATTTAAAGAGTTAAAGATTACTTTCTTATTAAACTCGGCTAGGTGTAAGAGAAAACAGGGGGTAAGTACGAATCTCTAATTTTAATTACTTCCGGGGAAGAGGATCTACAGAAGTTATGACAATGAACTTGTCAATATTACGCTCGTATATCCATGCTTTGAATGGTTAGCACATGCACGTTGCATCATAAGGTCCGTCATTGAGTCAAGTGGCTCATGTCCAACCTCATGGGTTTTCTCGGGGTCCTCCTGTTTCCTCCCACTGCTAAAGACCCCTACCCGCAAGTGAATTATTGAAATAAAATTGAAATGACCTAGTTTGTGTTTTGTGTGGGAGGTTAGTTAAACCCTCTCTCTCTCTCTCTCTCTCTGTCTGTCTGCAGAGGATGCTGAATGTTACCTATTTTCAGTTCATTGAATCTTGGTAAATACTGAAACGATATTTCTTTTACAGATTCAAGTATCACACTATTGTAGTAGGCAAGGGATTAACAATACCTCAAATAACGATCAGTGGTTTAACATATAGTAGTTACATTAGTTTCATCAATTCTTTCATTTCTTTCTATTTATAATTTCAGGAACTAGGAGCATCTATAGAACTTGCTACCCGGGCTCTGGAATTGAAACCTAAATCTTTCGAAGCTTTTTACGCTAGAGCCAGAGCTAAACGTGATATTAGACAGTATCCCGAAGCCATGCAGGACCTTAAACAGGCCCTTTCACTGGCGCCAAATAACCGTGATCTGCGACGACTTCTGATGAAGTTAAAAGAGGAATGTAAGGATCAGGTCAGATACGATGGAAGTCAACATGTAATCGGAGAAATGGATCCGATATCCGAGGATGAAGATGATTCTTCGGGAGACAGGCGACCTGAAGAAACTGCTTTATAATTACGCTTATTAATGTAGAAATCTCGCTTCCATACTGCTAAAAGTGCTTTGTGTAAATTTCATTCTTTGTTTAATTTATGATTGCTTTTTTTTTTTATGGGGATCATTTTTGTTTTTTAATAAATCTCATTGTTTTAAAGTTAAATTAGAAATAAACCAGGGCTTTACTATAACACAGATATTGGGTCTACTGACTTCATCCACATTGTGGGCAGGTTGGATGGCCGAATGGTTAGCACATGCGTGCTGTATCATAAGGTCTGTCGTTGGGTCAACTGGTGTGGTTTTGATTCCCCGGTTATACATGACAAGGAGTAGGGTTGCCTGTCCAATCTTGTGGGCTTTCTCTGGGTCCTCTGTTTTCCCCCACTACATATTATTGAAATAAAATTGAACCATGTTAGTCCCGAAATGACCTAGTTTGTGTGGACGTTAAAGCCCATTTCTCTCTCTCTCTCTCTTTAATCCACATTGTACAGGGACCTGACTATACAGAAGGACTTCAATAGAACATTGGATGTTGTCATGGTGACCCCCACCTTATATTAAAACCCCTCTGTGTTTGTAGTGACGTCCTAGTGAAGTTATTAAAATTTTAATTTTTTAATTGCTTTTATTATTTGAACAATATTTAAAACTTCTCTTATGCACAAGTGTTTGTAAACCTTGATGTTTTTAATGTTGCTTTTAAAAGAAGAAATTGTATTATTTGATTAATTTTTTGTAAACTTGTTAAAGCAATTTGTTATTTTAATCTTTAAGAAGTTTTCATTTTGTTTTAAATAGATTAAAACTAAAATCTTAATCCCTTTGTTTTCATCTTCATGATGTCCGGGTGTTATTACAAACATCTGACACCTTGACTGCGTTGACCGACTATATTGTTATACTGAATACAATGAAATTTTAATTTCACAAATGCAAAATGACAAATCTGTGTGATTTTACATGGATTTTAAATGGTGCAACAAATGATGACAGAAACAGTATAATTAAATACATATCAATGAGGTCCAAGTCAAAATTAACAGAATTGCAATCATGTGACATGGAATAGAGTTCTGCCATTCCCGATAACATGTATAGCGAGAGAATAAATGTGACATATTTGAATGCAGGAAAATGGTCAAGATAGTATTGTATTCATATGCCACATGCTTTGTCACCAGAAATTCTGAAGTTTACTTGGGATTGAGAATTTGATTTCTTTCAAAATATTTTTCACTCTACCATGTAACAAAGATGGCTAACTCAGTCAAGGTATTAGAAGATAGTTGAATGACCCTTAACACTGTGAAGATGTTTGTTTATAAGATATAATATAATATTGTGTAAATATATGTAAATTGTTAAAGTATATACGAATGTGTACATTGCTATATTTGTAAATAATTTGTCAGATCCAGATGCGATAAAATCTCCCGTTGTTTTTGACGACGATATATTAAAGAGTTATTACTGAGTTGATATTATTTTAAATATATCAGATATATTTTATTTGAATGATTCAAAGCTGTTGGAGACCAGGTGTGAACAAAAATATACAGTCAAAACCAAGGAGTAGTTTCACAAACGTTTGCAATGAAGTCGACTGACCGTAGATGTAGCCAAACCGAATCCTGTCATTTGAACAACCACAATTGTTGGAATTTCTGCACAATACGTTATAAGCTTGATCACGTGGATATTTTGTTTATTTATGTAACGATTGTAAATTATATTTTAATATCTCTATTGTGGTTGCTGTATTGATAATTTAAAAAAAATAACATTAATCTGTCAATAAAATACATAATACAATAAATGGTGAAGAATTTGACTTGCAATCACAGAAATTAAATCTCCTAAGATTCAATTGTAAATTACCATTCTTAAAATAACAATTTTTGCTTTCAATCGATTTTTCAGAGATTTAATTTTTTTGTCGAGAAATTATCTGGTTTTGGGCTACTCATTAAATACTTTATGTGGTCATGGTGACTGTATATTTCACTACTTTATGTAGTCATGTTGACTGTATATTTCACTACTTTATGTAGTCGTGGTGACTGTATATTTCACTACTGTATGAGTCATGGTGAATGTATATGTCAATACCTTATGTGGTCATGGTGACTGTATATTTCACTACTTTATGTAGTCATGGTTACTGTATATTTCACTACTGTATCAGTCATGGTGACTGTATATTGCCTATGTCTATAAGAACAATCAACAACATACATATATTTAAGCATAATTTATTTCTCTAGTAATGCTATTTTTAAATAAAATATATTGCAATAACAAAGTATATATTATTATGCCAGCATTTGTGAAAGGTGGATGCTTTATTATTTGTTTGTATGTTTACGTAAATTTATAAACAGTTCGCATAAAATATACTGCGTAATATCATGTTAGCACAATTTGTTTTTGATTTGAAATTTGTTCTGATGATCTGCAATTTGTTCTGATGATCTGCCATTTGTTCTGATGATCTGCAATTTGTTCTGATGAATTTGTCCTGATTATCTGCAGCTACAGAAATAAGTTGAGTGAATAAATTGTATGCTATTTATAGTGATTTATTTTATGTTAAGATTATGAAAAATAGAAATTCAGGCTTCAAAAGCTGTAATGATAGATCAAGATCATTGATAGAAATGGTCATCTGGTAATCATTATTCACAAGTTTATAAACTTATCTTGAACAGACTTCATGTAAAATTGAATTGACACGATTTCTGTGATTAAGGCGAGAAATAAAAGTGTATATTAGATTGAATTGTTTTAGATGAATATCATTCTACTGATAAAATTTTATGCCCGTAGGAGGGGTTGGATGGCTGAATGGTTAGCATGTGCGCGCTGTATCATAAGATCTGTCATTGGTTCAACTGGCATGGTTTCAATTCCCTCCAGTTGTACGTGAAAAGGAGTAGGGTAGCCTGTCCAACCTTGTGGGTTTTTATCCGGGTCCTCTGGTTTCCTCCCACTGCTAAAGACCCCAACGTGCAAGCGATTTATTGAAATAAAATTGAACCATGTGTTAGTCCCGAAATGACATAGTTTGTGTCGAGTGGATGTTAAACCCCATTTCTCTCTCTCTTTCTTTTATGCCTGTAGATTCAGTCAGTGTTTTGAAATATGAACAATTCTGGCATAATAACCCTAAAAAATGTAATTATGTACTAAACAAAATAACTGGCCGAGAAAGTTCATCCCAATTTTCCGGCGTGGTTCCCCCTTGTCAGTGATGCAGGACGGAGGGCCTGACAAGGACAGCTGTCTAGTCCTTCGGATGAGACAAAAAACTGAGGTCCCGTGTATACATTGGAATGCACGTAAAAGATCTCTTGGCAGTTGGAATTCGATATAAGAGTAGGTGATACTGCCGCTGCTCGGGCAAAATTTCCCTCATAGCACACTGTATGGCGTATGCCCGTCTTCATTAGCCCAGCATAGGAGCAGAACAGTAGGACGTTAAACCCCATTTCATTTCATTTTAAACAAAATAACACAGATCAGATCAATTTAATTCAACACCTTTTTTTTATTTATTTGAACTTATATCGGAAGTGGTATCAGATGTTATGGAAAGATTATGTATACCCTGCCTCATGCCCAACATACATCAGTGCTAAATTAATTAAGAAAAAAATGTTCTGGATTCAATGGATTCAAACTAAATTGATTCTGTTGCACCCAGGGATTTATTTTATAAACTTTGTTAAAGATGATCAAGAAATGTTCAGATTAGTTTATAAACTTTATGAAAAATGATCAAGAGATTAGTTAATAAACTTTGTGAAAAATGATCAAGAGATGTTTAGATTATATTTATAAGTTTCGCGAAAGATGGTCAAGATAATTAGAATGTAATACAATGGTAGATAATTAGAATAATTTGGAATGGAAATCGTTGAAGCATCAGTAGTTCACAACTCTAGGTTCTGTTTTTTTTTGTTTTTTTTGTTTCGACGTTTGTCTTGTTTTCATTCTATATGTAGATAGTGAATTGTAATAGGAACATGACTAAGTCAGGGCTTTCATCCTATTAAATATATGATAAGAAAAACAGTAGTTTGTATGTTTTAAATATAAAGATGATAAAACTATATTACTACTATATTTCCTGCCATATAAAATAAAAACATCTTTAAATATGCAACTTGGAGACTTTCTTATTTTTTACTCTTTGTAAAGTCATCATTTGGGAGCTGCGGTGGCTCTTCGAGTAAGACATTGGCTCGCTGACCTTGAAGCCCGGTGTGTTCCATTATGGTGGTGGATTGGATGAAAAACGGAGGTCTGGTGTACACATTGGCATGAACGTAAAAGAACCCTTAAGAGTTGGAATTTGGTATAAGATATTTATTTTTATACGTCCACGGTGTACACATTGGCATGAACGTAAAAGAACCCTTAAGAGTTGGAATTTGGTATAAGATATTCATTTTTATACGTCCACATTATGAATGTGAATCTATATTGCTGTTGCCCCTGTCTATGTGTCTGTGTGTCGCCTACAGGCCACAATTCTTAAGTGATCATCTTGCAACTTTACATACTTATTCCTTATCAACCTGAGGATGATCCCTATTGTTTTTGGTGAATTCCGACCCCCAGGGACAGAACCACGCCCGTTTCTTGTATTTGTTTGTTTGTCGTCTGCAAACAGGCCGCATTTCTTAACGTATCATCTTGAAACTTTGCATACTTATTCTTTGTACCCTAAGGAACATCCCTATTGTTTGGAGTGCATGCCTAACCCCCAGGGACAGAGCCACGCCTATTTTTTCTTTTGTGTGGCTGTGTGTCGCCCTGGGAAGGGATTTCGCCCTTATATTCCGGACTTGTCCGACGCTATTTTCCAAATGCCCAAAATTGTCGGACCGGGAATATGCCCAATCGGACATCAAGACATGGTGAATAATATTCAAAATTCCAAAATTAATATAGTGTACGGAGTGTATAACTACCACTCAACCTGATTATCGTTGATAATAGGCTGAATTGATAGGTAATTAAGTGATCAGCGTATTTATCGTGTTATACTGCCTATACACTTACCCTGATTAATTGTTTAATCTACCATGATTGACTGACTTAATCCTTTGTCAGACAAATCATCAATCTAATCTTCAACAGAAGTCATTGCTTCCCCTTTGTCGGACTATTCATCAATCAGATAAGAGTGATTATAATTTTAATCTACGTGTTTACCTTGTGGTTTCTCCATTGTCGGACATTTTTATCGCATTGATGTGAGCCGACAGCATCTGTAAACTAGTCATAGATGTGACATATCGTAAGAGTATATAACACCCTAAATCAATGAACAGTCATTTTGTCTGCGATATCTTTTACGTCTTTTAAGACTCCATATAGAAATTCTCATCCACAGTGGCACTTTCCCGTGATCTCGATTGCTGCACAAAAATTGCTAAACATATAAGGCAGGCTACTATGAAGCTATGGGTCATGTACGCCATACGCTGAAGTTAGCTATGCCTTTTTACGAGTGATTTAACTATCAATGTAATTTTAAAATATGGACTTATAAAGAAGGGAATGGTGTTTTGTCATCACCACAAGTATTATTATTTCGAACCCATTGAGTTACCTCTTCCATTGCAACCCAAAATCTAACCCTTTTTACCTCTTCCATTGCAACTCTAAACTTAATCCTTTCTATCTGTAAACCTAACCCTTTTTAGCTGGACCATTCTTTCCGGGGCTGTTATCACCATGCACTGTCCAATATTTATAGACCTGGATAAATTCCATACAAATATCTTAAAGTTTAAGAATGTCATATACCACTTGAGGTGGAACAATTTGGAGGACCTTGAGTCCCAAGTATTCACAAAGCTCAAGGTTCAGAGGCCAACCCAAGACCAGTGAAGCCATGGCAAAAAGGCAAGTTAGAGTAATGTCATCTTACCGCGTCATGAGACCTTAACTCTTTCAAGTCGTGTGTTGTTACTACTGTCGAGTCGGACTTGAGTCTCAATAAATATTTCAAATGGAGTCTTGAATGTGATGTAAGTCAAACTCAAAACTGAGTCGCAGGATTTGAGTTCCAATACCATCGATACTAATAACAACTTTTAACACTAAGACTTCATAGGAAAAAAATAACAACAATTAAAGTAACCTTCATGAAAATATTTTTATTTAATCTAAATCTGAAATAAAACAAAAAAATTTCACACATAATAACTAATAACAACAGATGGTATATGATAATATACAGGAATGATACAGTAAGTATAATATGGTGAGGTTATTACATCTAAATAAAATCAATGGCTTTAACTATAACTTTACAATACAACACAAATCTGTTAGCTGAGTGACCTCCCCTTAGGAGAAGTTATATTACATGTTCTATAATATAAAAGATGATGGTGTGTACTTGTGATTATTTATAAAGGCTCAAATGCAATAAAAATAAAAATATTTATAAATAGATCAATGTCTTAATTCAATGTACAGTTATAAATATATATATAAATATATATCAATGACGACATTAAAGACCATCTCACATCCTCTCCCCAGTGGCGTGCAGAGGTTATTTGATGCCCTGTGCCAAACCCTTGATTATATGCCCCAAAGACTCAATGATAAAGCTTAGTACTTAGAAATGTGAGAAAGGATAACATTTTTAATACAGGTATGGGAAAACAGATGAAATATACCTTTTATTCAAATTCCATATGGCAGCTTGTACAACAAAGGTAACAGCGATAATGTCAAATTTCTATTTTACATTTTTAAATTTCACACTTTGCTTGAATGGCTGGGACTGTCACCCCCATCCCCTCTCTCTGCACACCATTACCCCAAGCCCTGGCACTAACACTGTATATTACAACAAATATCCTAAACAATAGATGAATGTATATACATATATATTAACAAAACAATTAAACTATACATAATATATTACAACATATCCCACAACCCATGAATCAAAATAAAAATAAAATAATAAAAATATTATAGAGGGAAGAATATATTCCTATCAAAACCATCATTTTGGCTTCTTGCAAGACAGCCCATAATGCCTATAAAATCCTCCAATTAAACACTGCATTGGATATCATCTTCAAGCTATTACATATCCCCAATAATTTCATAAACATTTTTTTTTACTTGGGCTATACTTTACAATTAGAACAATCTGCTTTTAACCCTTTAATGTCCCCAAAAAGTTTATAAATATTTTTTTTTTTTATGGGCTATACTTTACAATTAGAACAATTTGCTTTTAACCTTTTAGTAGTTGGAACGCCTGAAACTATTGCTTCCTCAAACACTCTTCAAACCACCTCTGTAACGTAATTAAACAGCTGTGAACCATTTAAGAACTGTGGGGCAGTCCACAGCCAAGTCATTTCATGTGGTTTAAAAAACAAGCTACAAAATTCAGTGTGAAAATCCTCACTTTCCTCTAATTTTCTTAGGGGAACAGAGGTAGTCTACAGTTACATGTACCATGTGCTAAAAGAGCAAAATATTCAGGCGGTTACCTTTTTGATGTACAGCTGTTATTACCGGGAAAATAATTTGTACAAAAACAAATCCTATCCAAAAACTAATTTAGGGAATGGATCATATATGGAATGAAGTTCCCTGCACAAAATCAAAATGTTTAAAATGAAACATTTTATTAAAAATGAATGTTTAATATTGGTGTAGGAATGTTGTAGAAAAACAATATATTTTATTATTATGCGATATTTAACATAGCTATTACTTTAAATTAATCTCTTTTCCGTACAAATATATACAAATTGTTTGTAAAATTAAACCAAAAAGACAATTTGAAAGAAATTGTCATTAGAAAAAACTCAATCACTGAAATAGATTTACAAAGTGAAGAGTGATCATAATCTTTTTATTACTGATATCAATCACCACACATATCACTTGACACTTGACAGATAGAGAGAAATGGGATTTAATGTCCACTCGACACAAATAGGTCACTTCGGGACTAACACATGGTTCAATTTTATTTCAATAACTCACTTGTGCGTAGGGGTCTTTAGCAGTGGGACGAAACCAGAGGACCCAGAGAAAACCGTTAAAGGTGACTAAATAACAGACCTTATGTCAAATCATTCGGCCACCAAACCCCCTAACTTAACAGAGCAGACAACTCTGCATGGTTAAGCATTATGACGAATAACAAACAAAACTATTATAAAATGACCAAGACTCGCAACGGATTACAGATGCAATCTTTTTCGTATATGTACACTCATGTATATGCAGCTTATTCTGTGAAATATGGTATTTACAATTCTCATACAATCCATGCAACAATAATAAATACAAATTAATACAAAAATATTCTAGCCATGTGAACTCCTCAAACAAGCTTCTTGGCGAAATGTAAGCATAAATATTATGATAATGTAAAGATATTTTGCAAAACAAAAAAAAAGGATCTACTTTATTGCTACAATCCTAATCTCAAAATGGTTCCAAATTTTAATGAGAGTTTTTGATATTGTTCTTCAATTAAACTAATTGTTTTTGATCATGTAAAAGTTTTGAGATTCAGTTCGCTGTATTTGTCCTTGTGGTAAGCTGTTTACCTAACTTATGCATTGATAATGGTTCATTGTATACTCATTAAGCAAAAACAAATTCGCTTCTCTTGATTACATGTAAAAGCTGTTTTAAGTCTAAAGATTACACGTAAATGAAAGCTATCATGATTAAATGTGAATACAAAGCTTTTTTAAATCTCATGATTACACGTAAATGAAAGCTGTTTTAAATTTCATGATTAAATGTAAAAACAAAGCTGTTTTTTTTTTAATTCTTATGATTACATCTTAATCTAGAGCAGTTTTAATTCTCATGATTACATAAAATGCAAAGCTGTTTTAATGTTCACGATTATATGTACACATAAAGCTGTTTTAATTCTCATCATTACAGATAAATGTAAAGCTGTTTTCATTCTCATAATTACAAGTACACATAAAGCTGTTTTAATTCTCGTGATTACAGATACATGTAAAGCTGTTTTAATGTTCATGATTACATGTACACATAAAGCTGTTTTAATTCTCATGGTTACAGATAAATGTAAAGAAGTTTTAATGCTCATGATTACATTTACACATAAAGCTGTTTTAATTCTTCATGATTATTTATAACTGTAAAGCTGTTTTAATTCTCATAATTACAAGTACACATAAAGCTGTTTGAATTCTCATGATTACAGATAAATGTAAAGCTGTTTTAATTCTCATAATTACGAGTACACATAAAGCTGTTTTAATTCTCATGATTACAGATAAATGTAAAGCTGTTTTAATTCTCATAATTACGAGTACACATAAAGCTGTTTTAATTCTCATGATTATAGATAAATGTAAAGCTGTTTTAATTCTCATAATTATGAGTACACATAAAGCTTAATTCTCATGATTATAGATAAATGTAAAGCTGTTTTAATTCTCATGATTACAAGTTAATGTAAAGCTGTATTAATTCTCATGATTACAAGTACACATAAAGCTGTTTGAATTCTCATGATTACAGATAAATGTAAAGCTGTTTTAATTCTCGTGATTACAGATAAATGTAAAGCTGTTTTAATGTTCATGATTACATGTACACATAAAGCTGTTTTAATTCTCATGATTACAGATAAATGTAAAGCTGTTTTAATTCTCATAATAATGGGTATACATAAAGCTGTTTTAATTCTTGTGATTATAGATAAATGTAAAGCTGTTTTAATTCTCATGATTATAGATAAATGTATCTCATGATTACAAGTTAATGTAAAACTGTTTTAATTCTCATGATTACAAGTTAATGTAAAACTGTTTCAGTTATAATTATTACATGTAAAATAGCAAAATAAGTTAAACGTAACTAGAATGTAGACTGGAGTCTGGACACAATTTTGAAATATCATAAATTATCAAAATATCATCACAACTTTACATCTGGACTCTCCAATTCAACTGGGATTCAAACAGTTCATTATGAAAGAATGTACTTGACATTTGACTGGCTCATATATAACATAAAAGCCAACAAGATCACCCAGACACTTTATCAGTAACATTAATGACTTGTCTTCAACAACAAGTGGTAATAGCACCATGATTATGCCAAGAAGATCTGGATCCTTATTCACGAAACAAAAAGATAAATATTTTAAGAATTCAGCCCTTTCATTTGGCTTGAGCTATAATTTGTACCAGGATGTTGAATCTCAACTAATGAAATGGACGCATATTTAGTTTTCATGAATAAGGCGTCTGAAATGCAACGATCACAACATTCTAAACAATTTGGGGGGAATTATGAGAATTTTACCACTTTTGGTGTTGTAAGTTAAAACTGTCGGAATGATAAGTAAGAATTAGCCATTTACGTAGTAACATCAACAAATATAAAACATGATAACAATATAATAAAAGTCACAATACAACAAAACTACAGCACTATATTACAACATTTAAATCACGGCTTTCATTACAATGAAACCATTTTCAGCATTATCCCATGTGTTTTTACACAGAAAACTCAAAATCTAACTGTATGTGCTGTGATTTAAGGTTAAATTCATTGAAATTCTAATCACATGACATGTAAATTGACTGACAGGTAAATTTCTCCAGTCAGTCAATTTGACTGTCAGTCAGTCAAAACTGGTGAATATGCCTAAAACAAAAACAAGAAACCAATAGAAATTAAATGTTGTGGCATTATCAAAACACACAGCCTATAAACAATAAGTAAATATCTCTACAGGTAAATCACATAAGATACATTATGTAAGATTTAGATAAAGAGCTGATCATTCTTGATGTAATAGTTTTAAAATAGATAATTAAAAAAGAAATATATTGAACAATTCAGTTGAATTATTTCATTCTGGGCAAAGTTATGACTGTTTGAAGAAAAGCATAGTCTCAATTTTCATTGCTACTGTGGCTACGATACTAAACAGAGTCTTGGTTATCCAATTTTAAATTAAATTTTTAAATGGCGATCGTCTTTCAATCCATTCGGAAGCAAACCCATCCAATGAGCTAGAGAGTTAGTTATGGGCTTGTTATGCTAATAAATGTTTAATAATTAATTTATATAACATTTAAGGCCAAAAAAAAAATACCTGCAATTTGCAGATTTAGCTCTTAAATAATGCATCTTTAAAGATAAAATATAGAATGTATCAAAAGATACTAATAAATATTTTAACTATAATATTGATACAGATGTGTTAACCTTTTTAAAAGGAACTTTACTAATAAATATTATAGATAAATACAAAACCTTGATTATTATTTTAAAAATGTTGTTGAAGCATATTACGAACAACCTGGCCTCCTATTATTTAGAATGCTCTTATGTTAACTGAGATTTCAATATAATATTTTACAAATTGTTGTTAACAATATATTGCACAAAAAAATAAAATATCTTCCAAAATGCAAGAAATGCAATTTGTACTTCCATTCTTTTCAAAAATAACAACATTTTACACAATTATTAACACGTAAAAGCACCAATAAAATATACTTTAGAAACCATTGATTTAAATGTATAAGTTAATTATTTTGCTTATTTTCCTTCCCATGTCTGATATTCTGTTCCTTGCATTTTAGGAACGTCCTTTTAATATTTATCTTATTTGGATATAAAATTTGATTTAAATTATAATGAAATTCAATATAAAGGTCTGCGTTCCTGTTGGACATTTTGGAACAATCCTTTACATTTCTTTTATTTGGATACCAAATTTTATATCAACTGTAATGGACATTTTGAAACATTCCTTGGATACCAAATTTGATTTAAATCATAAAGAAATAGTAATATAAAGATCTGCGTTCCTGTTGGACATTTTGGAACAAACCTTTATATTAAAGTCATAATGAAGTTGAAATACAAAGATCTGTGCTTCTGTTGAACATTTTGGAACATTATTAACTGACAATATGCTTAAATTGTCAACAAGAATTCAGATCTACATTTCAAAAGTTAGATATCTTAAAATTATTATTTTTTTTATAAAATCTTATATTCCTTAAAAACTGATTGAAATTACGATTTGAATCAATATTCCTGTAATGTCATTTGCATCCATACATATTCTTTCCAAATTATTATAAACAATTTATCGAAATCATTCGTTAACAGAAAGAGAAACAAATTAATCTCCATCATTAATGATTTATAAACTCTCCACAACAAATTCGATATCAAAACTTGCCTTCACACCTAAACAGGTAATATTTTAAGGAATATAAGAATTAATAAATAATTCTCCAAGGATGTCTTAATCAACATGTACAAAATGTATTTCATGACAAGCTGATATTTCTTTATCAGTAAATTTAGATCTATATGCACAAGCAGAATTCTTGTGAATCCAAAATAAACGGAAACCCAAGTCATATAAATGTTGGTAAGTCTGTAGACCTTGTATATACCTCTCTTTACTGGCTTCGTTATTACGATCTGCTCGAAATATGGCACACCCTTCACAAGCGTGTACTTCTATTAATAATTGTTTTATATTATGTAAAGCGTTAGATTTAATAAGTTGGGGTAAAACTTTCCACTCCCATTCTTCTATATCCATCTTTAACACACTTAAACTTTCCTGAAAATATATCAATACATTGATTACATGCCATCTGAAATTACCCATACAATAATTACAGGTAATCTGAAATTACTAATATATTAATTACAGGTAATCTGAAATTATCAATACAGTAATTAAAGGTAATCTGAAATTTTATCATGACATCAATTATTGATTACAGGTAATCTGAAATCACCAATACATTGATTACAGGTAATCTGAAAATATAATCATTACATGAATAACCTGTATTACATTAAAAAAGGGTCATCTGAACTTTTATTACAATTATAACAGGTCATCAGATATTTGATTACATTAATAATGGGTGATCTGAACTTTTATTACATTAATAACTGGTCATCTGAATCTGAACCTTTAATACATTAATAACAGGTTATCTGAATCTGAACTTTTATAACAATAATAACAGGTCATCAGATATTTGATTACATTAATAACAGGTTATCTGAATTGGAACTTTTATTACATTAATAAAAGGTCACTTGAACTTTCATTTAACATTAATATTCACCTTGCAGTGTTTGCTTTGATAGATCTACACTGCTGTATAAAGGTGCAAAACAGGTTGCTTTCTCTTTGAAATGACAGATCCAAAGTCAATATTGTTTTGGTTAGCTTATTCCATTGATATTTATTGTAATTATATGTACCTTAGTATGACCAAGTTGACGTTTAATATCTGTTAATGTAGCCATATTCCAACCTTTATCTGACACCCCAGTATAATCGGATATACCTGTAGCATGGAACTTCACTAAATCACTTCGATCATGATCTTTTAATTTAATACTGAAAAAATAACATCATAAATTTGTTAGTTTGTAAAAACCATGCTCATGAAAAATCCAAATTTACTTCACTGTGCCCATGATAGAAGATTTAAAAATTTAAAAGAAAATATACAAAGAAAGAGAGAGAGAAATTGGGTTTAACGTTCACTCGACACAAACTAGATCATTTTGGAACTAACATATGGTTCAATTTTTATTTCAATAATTCGCTTGCGCGTAGAGGTGTTTAGCAGTGGGAGGAAACCGGAGGACCTGAATAAAACCACGAGGTTGGACAGGCGACCCTACTCCTTGTCACGTACAACCGGGGAATCGAAACCATGCCAGTTGACGCAATGACAGACTTTATGATACAGTGCGGATGTGCTAACCATTCGGCCATACAGCCCACCCATACAAACAAAGAATAAAGAATTAAGTTTTTATGAAATATATTTACCTGGGATCAAAACTATGTACTTGTGTTTTATATTTCTTGGCCATAGCATCATCAAAACTAAAATCATTGTTAATTCTGAATGAAAAAAAAAAATCTTATAATATTTAAAATAACAATGAAATGGATTTAACTTATTACTTTTTCACACAGAATGGGCTAATAAAGCTGGACATACACTATGCTATGATGAGAGACATTTTGCATGGATAGAGGTGTTGTGGCCTATGATTTCAATTTACAGTACAAACATCATGGGATCTTTAACATACTGCTAATGGTATACACAGGACCTCCATTTTTTGTCCTGTCTGAACCACTACGCTTTTCCTTGCCAGACTCAAAAAGAAGACCCGTTTCATTTAGATGAAAGTAAAAAGTGGAAATGTGTTCATCAGACATGAAGAAGGCTACGTTCCTATTGTCTCACTATCATAAATAGTTTTGTATTGACTGATAGGTAGAACAAAACCAGTAGAAGCTCCGGATAACTGCTCCAATTATCCCAGTATCAAATATTTTTGTATTTTGTATTAGCAGTAAAAGTTCCTTCCTTCATTGCGGTTCTTATTAACTCATTCTCATTTGAACACGGTTCATCCCATTCTTAGGAGTCTCTAAATATAGTTATATAGTACATGTTTAAGTCAAATGCTTATCAATAATCATCATAAAATGACATATTGGGTATTTAGAGAATCAATAAAATATACATAGACATGATATCAATATTAACTGAATACATATATAAAGTCACAGATCTTGATCTTGCATGTATCAGACAATATCTAATTATTCACAGCTTAATCCAATCTAAATATATTCATAATAAAATATACTCATATTAAAACCTATTATGTGATTCTGTATTTATAAATATTTTCTTGAAGTAATTTGCCCAGTCAGTTCAGAAACGTAAGATGTTAAAACCGATTTCATTTCAATTTGAAGTGTATTAAGCATAGACTGAAAAAGGGTAGGATGAGAAATTCTAACAGTAATCCCAGCTTATACTTCCGTCATTTATAGTTATGTAAGATCAATTTTATTGATTATAAATCTACAGAAACTAGACCACATATTTTCATATAATTCTATATACATGTATGTATCTTGATTTATCTAATGTTGAAATCAATATGTAACATCTGCTAAGTTTGTAAAATAAACTGACTTGTGTTTTATTCCAATCAAACAATTTTATTCAGTCAAGTATATTTTAAATAATGTCGTCAATACCAATGTTGTGGACAATGTCTAAATTTTTCATGTATTAACTCATGCAGCAAAAATTGATTATTTAAAATTTAATTAATAAAATAAAATATCAACGGTAGATTATCTTAAGGTCTGGATTCAATCAGATTAAAAAGAGGCCCATCAAAATTTTTGACCCAATACTTATAGGTGACACTGGGTACAGAGGATACAGATCCAACTTTGATAATATTGTAGTTTGCAAGTGATTCAAAATCTCCTCATTGACAATCTATCAACTGTTTTAAATGTTAACTATATTATGATTTTTCCTGGGTTGCCCCTTTATAAGTTTGGCTGACATGTTTTAAATCAAAAATTAAAATTTTGCTGATCATTATCAACAATTTATAGCGTCATGTTTGTATACATAGACAGAGAGAGCGAGAAATGGGGTTAAACGTCCACTCGACACAAAATAGGTCATTTCGGGACTAACACATGGTTTAATTTTATTCAATAATTCGCTTGCGCATAGGGGCCTTTAGCAGTGGGAGTAAACCGGAAGACCCAGAGAAAACCCACAAGTTGAACAGGCAATCCTACTCTTTGTCACATACAATCGGGGCGGGGGATCAAAACCCCGCTAGTTGACTCAATGACAGACCTTATGATACAGTGTGTACGTGCTAACCATTCGGCCATCGAACCCCCCTGTTTATATATAAGGTAGTACCTTTCTGAAAAAACCATAAATAATATGTGGGATTATATTTTGTGCATCTATTATTTCTGTTTTCACATCTATATGATAATGTAATGTAATATACTGTCTCTTATAGGTGTTTTTATTTATTTATAAACAATATTTTTATTCGTATTTCTACATTAATAGAAAATCTCGAACAGACATAGCCTACATGTATATTCAACAGTAACCTGTCTCCCTTGTTAGTGATTTGATGCAATAAAATAAAATATTATTGAAACATTACCCAAATGAATACACCAAACTTCCTGGTGAAGGTTTATGTTGAGGATCTTCACATATTTGCCATCCACCATCTGTTATTTTACCCACACGTTCAGGATTCTTACATTTTATCTGTACATTTTCTAAATAGCTGTAAATAAAATCACAAAGTTTGTTCTAATCAACTGATATTATAATCTACTCACCCATGATAAATCTACAAACCCATGATAAATAGTTGATAAATCTGATCAAATGATATTAGAATCTGATGAACTGATATTAGAATCTACCCACTCATGATGATAAATCTGACTAACTAATATCAAAATCTACTCACCCATGATAAATCTGATCAATCAGAATCTACCCACCCATGATAAATCTGATCAACTGATATTAAAATCTACTCACCCATGATAAATAGTTGATAAATCTGACCAACTGATATTAGGTAAGATAGATAATGGTGGAATCACCCAGACACCATCTTTATTATATTTCGATACATCAAGCTAAAAATACAATATCATAAAATAATATATCTAAATATCATAAAAAAAACAACATATGTACCAAGCATCACTGTTTCCCCAATTCTGAGATTTAGATACATCAAGCTAACAGATACAATATCATAAAATAATATATTCAAACATCATATTAAAAAAAAACCAACATACCAAGCAACATTGTTTCCCAATTCTAACTACTATTTAAAGGCTTTTTATTCTACATTAAACTCAAGGTTGACCTGGTTTTGCATGAAAGTAATATAACTTCAAAATTGGATTTATGTCACTCACTCCCCGGACCGAACTGTTCTTATACACTAAATTTCAGCTGTGGGACAGACCTAGCCGTCAACACAGACAAGAAACAGACAAACGACATTAAAAAATTAATTATTAAAATACAACATACTTCATTTTTTACGTCTTCCTTGTATTTACCAACAAACTGAGCACCAATCACTACAATAAACAATATGAGTTTAAAATCATGTTCTCCGATAATTTATATTATTTTATTTCTTTTTTTTCCATTTTATTTTCTGTAAATTATATTATAATATATTTTAGTATTTTACTAGTATCAGTTTTATGTAATATGCGACAAGTTTTATCATTGTGTTGTCGACTGATCTACCAGTATATTCAAACTCACTGAAGTTTCATGAACAGCAGTCGTTCTGAATATATTAGGAGTCATGGTGGCTCAGTGAGTAAGACGCTAGCTTACAAACTATGAGGTCCAGGATTCGATCTTGGTGTTGGTTGAAAATATTTCCTGTGGATTTAAAAGCATGGTTTCCCATTGTCATTGGTAAAGGGTAGTGTCTAGTCATTAGGATGGTACACAAAACCGTGTGCACGTAAAAGAACACTTGGATAGTTGGATTTCGATTTCGGAATCAATCTGATTAAAATACCGATCTATATTTCGTTTCGTTTTTTTATACTTTTGATGGCCTACACTACATAAAGATCTGACAAGTTATAGCGATAGGTCACGTCAGGGGTCAAAAGACTTATGACGCCAGACATTTGATTAACCAATCAGCATTGATGTTACTAGTGGATTACCCACAGTTCGGTGAAAAACACGCCTAAAACTCGACGTAACAGACCGTTTCATTGGCTTATCCCCGACACCATTCAGAACATGAGTTAAATAACAACTCTTCCAGATCCAAGTGTAGTAAAGACAAGTAAAATGAAATTTTGAACTATAAAAACGAAACGAAATAGGATCTGTGTTTTAACCAGATTGTTTCGGAATAAGAGTAGGCAATAATGCTTACCTGTTAGCACACTGTATGGCATACACCCGTTTTCATTAGTTCAGTCAGTGCAGAAAAGTAGGACGTTAAATCCCATTTCATTTCTGAATGTATTATTAGATCTTTATCTTAATCAGATCGATAAAGATCAATCAAGATAAAGATATAATCTAGGTAATATTTAGTCTATGTTTTGTAGCTAAACGATTTGACATGCTTAATTTGTTGTTAGTGCCCGAGGCATTATCAGTAAACTTCTCAGTGCCCTAGTCAACCCCAGCCTCCAGCCACATTCAAGCATAAATCAAACCTTTGTCTTAACTGCTGATTGGCTTTAGAGTATAGTGTGCTAGACAATGAACGTCTACAAGACAAATAAAATAAAACCAAGTACGAACAATCCAAACCATAAGATAGAATTCGAAGTCCTAAAAAACGTTATAGGCAAAATAGTGTATTAAAGCAAAATAGTGTAATCAGCAAATACTATACATGTACATGTATGTAAGTGACTGGTTTCAATTCCCTGCTTGTATGTGACAAGGAGTAGGGTTCAGATCCTCAAGTTTCCTCCCACTGCTAAAGACCCCTCAGTGCAAGTGAATTATTTTTAAAAAATTGAACCATATGCCAGTCCCGAAATGACCTAGTTTGTGTTGAGTAGATATTAAACATGTCAAGGACTAGTTCAGTTTTGACTTAGATTATTATTTCCAGGCCTGCGTCAACATCAGTACACCCCCCCCCCCCCTCCCCAAAAAAATGTTTTAATGTTGTAACTTTACCTGGTAATTCTTTATTAAATGGTCCATTTACATATAAACCATTTACATCAATACGATCTACAGCTACTTTCTGCATTAACATCTTCCTCTGAAAATGTAATAACAATATCAATATCTTTAATTATTATTACTGGTAATAGAGAGAGAGAGAGAAATGGGGTTTAACGTCTAACCAACACAAACTAGGTCATTTAGCAGTGGGAGGAAACCGGAGTACCCAGAGAAAACCCACAAGGTTAGACAGGCGACCCTACTCCTTGTCATGTACAACCAGGGAATTGAAACCATGCTAGTTGACTCAATGGCAGACCTTCTAATACAGCACGCCTGTGCTAACCATTTGGCCATCCAACCCCCCAATGGTAATAGAACTTTTATGTTTTATGTGAATTTAATTGTTCACATTCTCATATAATATGGTATGCCCTAGTACTGATTTTAGAATTCCAAATCCAATTCACTGACAATTCCAATCCTTAAGATCAATTATCCTTAAATCCTAATCCTTAATGCTAATCCTAACATTGTAATCCTTGACAAGATCAATCATCCTTAAATCCTAATCCTTAATGCTAATCCCAACCTTGTAATCCTTGATAAGATCAAGTATCCTTAAATCCTAATCCTTAATGCTAATCCCAACCTTGTAATCCTTGATAAGATCAAGTATCCTTAAATCCTAATCCTTAATGCTAATCCTAACACTGTAACCCTTGATAATATCAATCATCCTTAAATCATAATCCTTAATGCTAATCCCAACCTTGTAATCCTTGATAAGATCAAGTATCCTTAAATCCTAATCCTTAATGCTAATCCCAACATAGTAATCCTTGATAAGATCAAGTATCCTTAAATCCTAATCCTTAATGCTAATCCTAACATTGTAATCCTGGGCATTATGAGATAAATATCAATCCTAAAATTCTGATCTTTTATGAACAGGAGAATAATGTAGTAATACCCCTTGGTAATTTTGCAGCAGTTTTTAAATCTAAATTCTAAATCAATCTGATATATTACAGCTGATCTAATTTCAGGAAGATAATGACATACTCCTTAGCTTAATTTAGCCTAAGGGCAATATCAAATTCTAATAAAAATAAAAATTATAGCTGATCTATTTATCCATGACAATGAAAATAATGCCATACTTTCTGACCTTAGCTGAAGTAATCTTAATTTCTAAATCTGTATAAAAAAATATTAAAAATAGTAATTTATAGCTGATCTATTTATCTACGACTGGGGACGGTTGCTATGGATATTAATATTCGGTTATTATGACATAATTAGTACCTGGTAATTATGATATAATTATCTTGTATTTATGACATTAATATCTTGTAATTACGACATAATCATCATGTAATCATGAGATGCTCATCTCATGCACAGGCATGAACAAATTGTATCATCATTACATGTACATGCACGCTCACAAACATGCATAAACAAGTGCACATCTCAGACAAAATAAAATGAAATGGGGTTTAACGTCCTACTATTCTGCTCTGACTGGGCTAATGAAGACGGGCATACGCCATACAGTGTGCTATGAGGGAATTTTGCCTGGGCAGTAGCACTATAGCCTACTCTTACATGTATATCGAATTCCACTGCCAAGGGATCTTTTACGGGCATGCCATTGCCAATACACGGGACCTCATTTTTCTGTCCCATCTGAACGACTAGACAGCAGTCCTTGCACATCTCAGATGCATATTTACAGGCGGCTATGGGCACACACGCAAAGGCATCTAAAGCAATATAGGTTCTTCAAAACTGCTAATACCATTTTAGAGAGGGTAGGCTTATTGTATAACATTATTCCATTTATGGAGCGGTAGGCCTAGAATACTTGCCACTAGGTAACAGATTTCATTTTGCCTGAGTGAAGGGGACAGAAGAGTTTGAGTAAAACCGATACACACAGGGCTTACTGTACCCCATGACTTTCATTTCTGGAGTTTACAAGGCTTTGTCATAATTACAAGATATACCATGTAGGCTACGTAAGCTTATTAACTCATTATTTACAAGATATCAATCACGATAATTTTAAAAGATATCAGATTTTTTTTGTGATCAACATCAGTTACCTGTTTATAAAGAGAGAGAAACATATGGGGTTCCACTTGACACAAACTAGGTCATTTTGGGACTAACATAATAAGGTTCAATTTTATTTCAATAATTTGCTTGATAGGGTTGGAGGAAACTAGGGGACCCAGAGAAAACTAACGAGGTTGGACAGGTGACACTTCTCCTTGTCACTAGTTACAAGTGGGGAATTGAAACCACACTGCACTTGACTAAACCATTTGGTCAACCAACTCCCATATTGTTTATAAAGGGAAAAATGTTAGACAGGCCTTCTGACTTAATTTTATACCCTTTGAAAATAAAATTATTGATATTATTAATAAGCCTTAATGTAATGGTCAAAATCAAAAATATTAGGCCCTAGATCTAATTTTTATTTCATTTTTTCATCATCAGAGATTCGCTTTGGTATTTATATAAATTTATTCATTAATTAATGACATAAAATATGTCTGATTTCAAATATAATCCTTTTGATTAAGAAGGCAATATCCTTGTTCAAACATTTATTTAAATCTCTGTACGTGTCTATTACTAACTAACTTACCCGGTTGTTTATTTCTGTTTTGGGATCTGAAAACAAATTGCCATTTATTGTAAACACACTCAAAAAGGCCAAAATCAGGAATAGGGAACCCAAATATACAAAGATTGCTTTTGTTCTCAACCTCCATCTCGCCATTTCAATATCTTTTGATGCTATTTCTGGTCCAAAACAAACGTGTAACACTTCAAAAGATATTAATTCTCAAATCTCTTAAGCTGAAGGGCGGAAGTGACAAGGGCTCTGTTAACCGGAGTTATCTCCCTTGAACCACCTCTGTATTATTAAAGTGACATACAGGCAACTAAAATTCGATATTGATTTTCTCTGTTAGTTCCTCGGGATCATTGGCAAGGGAAGATGTCTTGTTGATGCGCATTGATACCACTGGTGGCACTCTAAAGATCCACTCGGTTGGAAATCGAAATGAGAGTAGGACATAGCATTTCTCTGAAACCCCAATGCATGGGATTCCAATAACCATTCTTTTCGCCGATTTGCTGCAGAAATGTAAAACATCAAACCCCATTTCCTTTGTCTTTGATTTGGAGGGTTGGGTGATCAAGTGGTCTAATTCGTGTGCTTTAGATAATTGAATCAGCTGGCTTGATTTCGATCCTTTAATGAACACAACATTGTCTTTTTTGAAAGGATTCCCAATCCAGAAAGAGGTAGGCCTAGTATGGGGGTGGGGTAAAGATTGTCTGTGATTAGATAGGAGGTGCATGTAACCGACTAACGCCCCCTGCTTATTTCGTGGTGGTTTATAAATTTAAATTTTATAGAGAACTTTGTTCTGTATGTCGTGTTCACAAGTTTAGTTAATTGGAAAGATGGTATCCTTCAATTCATGCAACCAAACGGAGAAAACTTTCTTTGACGGTTCACAAACATGTTCCACTCCGCCTAAAACAACGCCACGTTTCCAGTGAGCTTCCTTCAGTTGCGGTCATGGAGAGGGAGAGAGAGAGAGAGAGAGAGAGGTCGATTAGACACAAACTAGTTCGGGACTACATATGGTTCAATTTTCTTTCAATAATCCACTCCTTTGTCAGTGGACGTTATCTAATTTTAAAGCCCCAAACCAAACAGCTGTGTTGCGTGGACGTCATACCCCATACCAACTCAGCTACCAATCTAGGCAATGACTTTAATATGGATGGAATACAGAAGAAATTTGACCTTAAATTACTGAAAAAGAGAGAGAGCGACAGAAACGAGGATAAACGTGCACTCAACGCGAACTATTTCATTTCGAGTCTATCCTGTGGTACAATTTGAAGAGCCCCGGGAAAGAACGGTCTAAGTCACTTTTTCAATGAACCCCAGTTAATGGCGCCATCTGGTAGCAAATTGTATAAGATTTCTGTGGAACAATCTATTTCAGGTAAAAACGATCGGAGTCATTCCTCTGCAGTGGGGGGGGGGGGGAAATCGGAGAAAACCCACGAGGTTGGACAGCCCACCCCTTGTCACGTACAAACGGGGAAATGAAACCACTTGACTCAATGTGGAACCTTGTGATCCAACACAACCCCATGTTGTAATAAATGCTAGCACCACGGCTTAACAATTGAGGACGGACAACAGAAACCGTTTGCAACAATATCCTTTTATAAAAACAAAAGAAGAAAGTTTTTGGTCCGCTACTTTTATTTTCCAAATTGTAGCTACAATATTTCCAATCAATATAAATTATACTTCCATCTTCAGGCAACTTCAATCTCTACAACAATCTTAAAGCTCTTAATTAAGATAAATTGTGGTCCCGAGAACTGGATTCTAAGACCCAATCTAGTTGTTCCAAGGATCCGCGTTAAACGGTATTTTGTTTTTACTAAATTCTATAATACAGATATTACAATATTGTATAAATATGATTATATAAATGCTAAACAAATCTACAATAAATAATAAAACTTCGTAATAAAATTACAAATTAAATTCACAAAGGATGTAGACATGAATCAATCAGTTGTAAATCTCGCATCCATCCACCTGGCGCTCATGCATCCACTCGGCTCCCACACCCATCGATTCGGCTCTCACGTTCATTTATTCAGCTCTCACATCCACCCACTCCACTCCAACATTCACTGGGCTCACATAACCATCGATTCGGATCTCGCATCCATTTACTCGGTTCTCACATTCGCCCACTCCACTCCCACATCCACTCGGCTCACATAACCATCGATTCGGATCTCGCATCCATTTACTTGGTTCTCACATCCATCCACCCGACCTGCACATCCACTCTCTTTCTCCCATTGCAACCATTTTGATTTCACTCACACCGCATCTTCACAATGTTAAGGTGAAGCGACCCACAGTGTCAAGACAGTTATCAGAATACAGATTGTTAATGACTCGCGAAGCTGACTCATCACACAAACATTAGCATCCTGGCCACCACCCTCGGTCCGCTATCGTTGAATACCCTTGGTAATAGTAAGTCCTTTTGTATCGTATTGGAGTCATAGTAACATTAGAATGGCTTCAGACCGGAACAACTATAAGTGAAGCCCCGGTCATATGATAGGGTAGCTAACTCTTGGGAATCGAGGGGAATGCCAAGATGGTTTAAAGGACGAACGAAGCACATTTTGGTCACATACAAAATTATACTGTCGACCACATAACTTGAGCATAGCTTTACACACAAGCTGTTGTGGATAAAATAAACGGCTGATTTTTCTCTATGATCCCAAATGGTTCTCTTTTTTTCGTTTTTTTTTTTTGTTTTTGTTTTTTTTGCCTGTGAACTTAGAAAAAATCACAATAATAATGAAAACGCGACCTTCGTTATCAAGAAGCACAGTCTATCATCATCTGGCCGACACTTTTCAATTGAAAAAAAATCCCAGGAAGGCGATAAAAGAGAGTTGAGATTAGAGAATTTGAGCTACCTGTTTTCCAGGTTCTGTTTACTTCCACATTAAACACGTGGGAACGTGGGCATAAGAAGTAGCTTGTTTACAAAAGGTAAAAGGGGCTCGAGCACTCTTGTTACACATAAAAAGGATATGCCACTGCAACCGCAGAAAATGATGAATTCTGAAAATGAGAGATTGAACCCCTTCTTCGTCTTAAAAATCTTGAGTAAGGCTGTCGGACAATGCCGTCATTATATTAAATTTTGTGTTTCAGTTGAGAAGGATAACGGAAAGTTCAAATATCAATCCGCCAGGAGAGATAAACTTCGGGTTGTATTTTCTCTTATTGATTATCCACGCCATTTTAGAAAGTCATTTTTAGTTAGTCATTTCTAAAGAACACGCAATAAAGTTATTACCACACCTTCATCGCGTCTCTGAAACAACATTTCACCTTCAAAATTTAACAGTTGTTGTTTTCGAGCTCTCATCAACATCCCAACAATGTTACTGGAGATTTTGGTGTAGGTTTGAAATAGTTCGCCAAAAGTTATCGTTATAATTCCGTCATCTCGTTTGTCTGCTGTGTCGGCTATGACCCGTGTTAACCTGATTATTTCCTGTGTTATATCAGCACTTGCTTGTTGGCCCCTTTTTTCTGTATTGGACCCCGGAATTGGTTTTCCGTAGTTGACATCATTCTTGTCCATTTTTACCATATGTTTGGCCCCATCCCATTCTGAAAATGGATTTATAAGTTGTTTTGCCCGGTGTTCTTCTGTTTTGGTTTGCCAAAATTTTACTTTCCCGCCAAGATCCGGATTGTATCTATAAGACGTTACGATTGGTTTGTTTACTTGAGTCATTTCTGCAAGAAAAGAAACCAAGTTTTAATACATATTCAGTATACAAACAAATGTTACTACCATAGACCACATACTCCTTGCAGTGTCTTGTTTGATTATACGACGTGGTTTCGCCTTGTCATTGGTGAAGGAAAGAGGGCCTGACAAGGACAGCTGTCTAGTCGTTCGGATGGGACGGAAAACTGAGATCCCAGCTGGAATTCGATATAAGAATAGACCATAGTACCGCTGCCTGGGCGAACTTTCCCTCATAGCACACTGTATAGCATATGCCCGTGTTCATTAGCTCCGTATAGGAGCAGAACTGTAGGGCGTTAAACCCCATTTCATTTCATTTCATTTCGTTTGATCATATCTAATCTCACTGAAACACTGCTGGGCTGATGGGTGATTTCTGTCTCAAACAATGTCTGGTTAACAGCCGGGTTAACGTCCAATGCATTACAGCGTAACAGATCAATCGGGATTAACCGGACTCCAATTAACGTAACAGTGTATATGACATTACGTCACATCGTGCGAAACAACTAATCCTTTAATAAATGTAATCAAAGAAACGGACTGTCATGTTAAGTATGTATCAGTTGTTTCAACAAACTGATAGAATCTATCTAGGTTTTCCAACAATTGAACTTACGAGAGATTTAATTGGACGATAAAAATAGACGAACTCCGCCAAAAACCCAAGTTTCAGCTTCAGCTTTCGGAATGAATAGATCATTGATAATCTAAATACACACGCGGTTCACTAAAATATGAAAACACACATTAAATCGTGTCTTAAAAGCTAAGAAATACAGTATAATATATGGATATCTTTATTTATTACCCAATAATACATTCTACAGTAGATATCGCTTGTGTGATATATTTCATAATCTACTGCTATATCTCCTTAGGAGATATCGCTTTACATAAATTTGATTGGTCAATTGAAAAGGAACTACTTTTTTTATTTTCAAAGAACAGTTCATTTCTTATTAAAAGTAACTTTCTTTTATCAAAAATGAACTATTGTTATTCAATTGACCTTGATGGAAATACTGGGTCAATATAAAGGACTTTGCAATGGTTGAATTGCTGTCAAAATATGATGTATCACTACGCTGTAATGTTCAGTAAAAGTGAAATCTACAGCAAAGAATTATATTTATCTATTTTGTGCATGTAAGAAGGGATTGGGTGATAAATAAAATCTCCTACTCGTCTTTTTTGATATCAAAAAATATCAACACTCGTTGATAAAGTAAAAAAAAATCGGCAGAGCCTCGTTTTTGTTACTTTATCAACTTGTGTTGATATTTTTTGATATCAAAAAAGACTGGTAGGAGATTCTCTATATATTACTTAAATTTTCAAGTCTGACGTGCTCTCGTATACGAGTTACGGCTTTCGGGAGAAGAAATGTGCCTGTCTTGTTAACGCGATGTTTAGTTGTGCAAAGCGAGGGGATGGGTTTGGAGGGTGTCGGGGCGGGGACTTTGGTATTTC